CACTCCAATAAATAAATAGAATTGAAACGACACTTTGAAATGTTTTCCCGATGAAAATGAATAATAATAATAAGTTTCAATAAAAATAATAAAATGTAAATTGAATTTTATCATAACGAGTTTGCTTGAATTTCCTTTCTTCTGAGATCGCTGCAATGCGCGACGGGTAAGCTAGTAGCTTGATGTTTTCTAAGAATTTATTTGTAAACATTAATTTTATCTTAAAAACAGTGTATTAAATGTTTTGTTTATTGTACAATGTAATGTATTTAGATATTGATTAATGCAATATTAAAAAACCATGTTTATTTTCATGTTATATTGAGTTGTAAATTTTCTTAGTTTTGAAATTATATAAGATGTATACATTGGCTAAGATACATAATAGTTGTAGTATTTACAATGAGCTGACATATTAGGTAATTGTTTTTCTAATAAAGTGTTTATTTCAAATGTGGTGTATTTTATTTTACCTTCTTTTAATTACAGTATATTATAAATACTTACCTTTGCTTGTATTTCTTTATTATATAAGCTATAAAATATTGACAGAATGGAAAAATCATTCTATCTAGTGAGAAAAAAAATTCGCCTATTGTCCGACATTAAGTAAAAAGTGCCGACGTCATTAGGAAATGTGTCGATTGGTTTAACTGAGTCGACATCACATGTGACATTGCTCTCAAGTTGATTCATACTATAGACAAGAAGGAAACTATGTCCAGGCTCAAACCCGACACTGCCTACTGGTGTTTGGTGGTTTTACAAAATTTAGGATGTTTGAAATTTAAATAATATATTAGATTGCATCGAGTTTATTATATAAAATATGGTTTCAAATCCTGAATTCTTGTACATCTGGCAACACACTTTGGGGAAAAATTGGGATCCAGCTATTGCCGATCATCGTTGGCACCATTTTGCGGGCTACTTTATATCCATAATAGTGTATGGCTAGTTAATCGACCGTTCTCGTTCGCAGAGAACTTCTAATCAAAAAGGACCAAAACAAAACAATTGTTTTGTTGCAATCATAGCCAATCCATTTCAAATTCCTGCAAAAATACCACAAATAGTTTAGTTATTTATTTTTTTAAGACAGTCTCATGTCTCATATACTGTGATTATTATTATTTGCACTTTCTAATTTGATAAGCCAAACACACAATAAAAGTACACAACTGCATCCTGTGAGTACTGAGAGAGCTTTTTTAAAGTCAAGACCAGATATGGAAAGATTAGGGGCAGAAGGTCCCGATTATATGAACTTCCAATGAAAATTGGAATTCATGTTATTTCAATTCAAAAATTTTCCCCCAAAAAGGAGTTAGCAATAGTCATGCCAGTCATCTAACAGGAAAAGTATGATGTACAGGGACAAGACACTACTAATTTGAGGTGGAGAGCATATTTTAAATGAAAAATTAAAACTTGCAGGTCAAGATGGTGAGGAGATAATGGAAGATCATGTGCATTTCCAGTAGGATCGGACTTAATGACGATTTTACTCATTAGTATTTACGATTTTTTACACAAAACTTGTCCCTACCCTCAAAATTAAGCTTTTGCCATATAATAGTTAAAAATATGGTGTAAATAAAAATATAACAGATGGTGCCACCAAATAGGAAAGTTAAGCAATCCATTGCTGGATTTTTATATGAAGATATTTCGGTGTTTTTATGCAAAGAAAATACTGTTGTGGCTCAAATATACATTGTAAATCTGATATCAAATTAAAGAAAAACATAGATCGAAATTGGGTTCAGTAAAATTTGATTTCAATGTGCATTTATAATGTGTTAACCAAAATTTTAAACCCGTCAGCAATTTTATGCAGGCAAGCTATAGATGAAAATTTAAGGTTCTACTGTCCGTAGCTTTAACTTATGTAAATTTACAAACCTCAAAATTGGAAAGAATTATTTGTTAGTTCTGTAATGTTTTGAAATACAGTCGAGTGATTACTCCTACATATTGGGCTGGCAGCTGCCTGATTATTGGATTTTGTATTACATACCATAAAGTAAAAGTACACTTGGTTTACAGATTAGTTTAGCATATTTATCATGATTGTGACTGTTTTGCCAATTGCATGTGCAATGAACTAGTTGTTACATACATCAACAAGGGATAACATGAAAATTTCACATGCACCACTCCGCAGAGTGTTAAGATTGGCGAGTGACAGACTACAGAGATTACGGTAATCTCTAAAGAGGAGGTCTTAAGGGGGAAAAAAAAGTGGCTGTAACAAGAAAATGCTTTATAACACATTTATTTCTCTCTATATTTTAATAAATGTTGCATTCCTAAATGTGCATTTAAGCATTGATTCATACATTTGCATCTAAATGACTAACAGTATCAGCAAAATAAGAAGTGCTAGTCAAATATACAAAGCAAAGAAACAAAAAAATTACATTGGCTAAACAACCAGCTAAACATCATTGTTAAACATTTCAAATTAAAGCAAACATTTCATTGTAATTTTATCATTAAAATAAGATGCCATTAGAATATACATCAAACATTCAACCATTTATAACAAATTAACTTCAAAGTGGACCCTCTTTACCGTAACTGTTTGATAATGCATTATTTCTAAGCATTACAGAATGCGAGCAACAGGGGGTATCACATTGCTATCATTCTGTTACACACGCATATTTATATTTGTATATATATTTTATAATTGAACATGTCGACGTTACTGTACATGAAATTGTGAAAAGAATTCCTCGATAGGTTATATCGATTTTTCGCTTTGTTTATCGTAACAGTCCACAAAATAATGGAATGTATTGGAAGCTTAAACTATACGATAAAACACTCGAAGCCAACATATTCTACTTAAATCAAAACATGCCATAGTGACATGCTTGCATGAATAATCAATGCATTGCACGCATATTAATGAGTGACTGCTATGTTAGCATCTCGTTTCGTATAGTCCACTTCTTCCAATATATCTAACCCATTTTATGACATCGTGATCGCTGTAGTTCAATTTCGGTTCGAAAACCTTCAAATATCTTACTTTTAATCCGGAAGGGGCAAAAGGAACCTGAAAATTTAAGTTTAAAAATGCATGAATATGATTATTCTTACGAATATCTCTTCACATAAAATCATACCTCAAAATTCATAGAAATTGGTGGCCTATTCCATTTCTTCTTTGTATCTGTCTGGAGTAATTCTATTTCAGCACTTAACTGTGTTTCTTTCATTCCAGCCATTCTTTTAATTCTAAATTTGAATTTAAAACATTAAAAACAGAAAAATCTAAGATAACTATTCTCGAAAACAAAGCTTAACTTACTTCCATACTATGGCATTCTCGCTGGCTTTATACTTAGCTTTACCTTTCATGCAGATCAACTGTACGCCACTTGTGTTTAATGGAGTAGGAATACGAACCTGAACACAATTACATTAAAAATGTTAAAAATATTCAGAAAAGGAAAAAAGATTATACTAAAAATAAATTTACTTCAATTTTTTGCCCAATGAGAGATGGTTTGAAGTTAGATTTTAAAACAACTTTGACTTCCATTTTTGTCCTTCCAACTTCACGAACCAGAGGAATGATGCGAAAAGGAAAGCTGATATCCTTTGTTATGCGATATCTAAGAAAATTATATTTTAATTTTACAAATAAACATTCAATTATTGTTGTGTAAATACAATTTTCTAACCTCATGAGTTCAAATTCTCCGTCTGGTGGAATAAAACTTATGCTATGCTCACTTTCAAATTTGCTCAACTTAACACATTGATGGAACTGACAATCGTCAATAGCTATTGAAGTCTTTCCAGTACTATAAAAATAGAAACATTCAAAGATGTTTTTAGCAAACAAATTACCATCAATAAAATAATAAAATTTTCAAATTTTCAAACATGAATTAAAAAGGGACCAAATTCTAACAGCAAACTACATATTTAGAGCTACTTTGCTTCTTTGGATTATTTCTGAAGCAAAGAAGTTCAATATGTTAATTGGCCTTTAGTATCCAGCCTCTCTAACACAAGTTGGAGAATTTTATATTTCACTGAAACTAGTGTCGACGAAACACAGATAATTACCTTCTGGTCGGATCGTCGATGGTACTTGTTTTTCCTTTACTATCCATAGTTATTTTGTCATTTATACCAAACTTGCATTCGGGCATTCCAGATAAATATGATTTCATTACTACTTTTCCGGCAACGTGAGCACTGAGGACTTGACCTATCAAGTGTAAAATTATATATAACTAGTCATAAGAATACATTTAAATGAAATAAAAAATTACCTTGAGGAGACATCAAAAGATTAACGTATTCCAGAACATCAAGGAATAATTCATTTCTTCTATATTTTATTCCTTCCCTACGCCATCCAATGTGACCAGTAACTTGGCATGTAATTTGGCTTTGCTCCTCTTTAGTTTGAGATTTGACACCTTGTTGAGTAATGAATGTTTTCAATATACCAGTGTCGGTATTTTGAGGATAACCAAAATCTAATATTTCTGAAATTTTAGTAATAATCCTCATTCGTCACACATTTCAATACTCATTACAGATTTACAAAACTTTTAAAAAGTATACTTACCATCCAATAATTCATAAATCAAAACAAAGTTATTTTTAACATTTTCTTCACTTATTTTTCCAAAATATGACTGCATAACTTCAACCATTTTTAAAAGAAATTCGAATACCATGGAGGCATTTACGTTTTGCTTAGTGACAGCCGCCAACCAAATATTTCCCCGCTTTATGTGGAAAAAACTGGTGCGAGCAATATTTGTTACAGGGCTGCGCACTTGCTGTCTCGCATGAATGACGTTAACTCTAAAAGCATCCACGGCATTACGACTACAAGAAAGAAATTAATGTAAAACTTTTGAGTTTAATGATGAATGCACATTTAAATATCACTTACCCTATATCGTCTCTGTAAACTCGAGAGATAAGGACTTCTCCTTTATGGTTGTAAATAAATAATCCTCCTATCATTGTCAAATGATCTGAAAAAAAAGGAAAAGGAAAAAATTATTGACAACTTTTCTTTAATATTGTTGTAACTTTTGAAATAACATCCAAACTAAGTTATTTATATTCATTAAATCATTTCTAATGTATAAATCAAAGTATTTAATGATTGCAAAGAATTATTAACAAGAGTTTTAAATTTACTAAAGCCATAATAACTAGACACAGTAGCATTCAATTATACTATACTAGTAGCCCGGGACGCTCCCTAGTGGGCGTTCCAGCAGCATTACAAATTCCTGAGGCATGTTTAATGCACTTAATATATGAAAGTTGTGTGCGCTTAATGTTTAAAAGTTTGATGCAGTTAATATATATAAATGTATACAATTCTTCATCTTAGAAACTAAACTTAAAATATCANAATGCAAAGAGAAAAAAAAAAGAAACGTGTGGTAAAAGCAAAGGGAAAAGAATCAACAAAGCAGCGTGTCACTACAGATGTTGGAGAATCAAGTTCTAAGTCCAAGAAGCAGAATAAAATTGATTAACAGTATATTAATCGTGAGTAAAAGTTTTTTTTTTTTATTTAAAAATAAGTTCTTGCTAGCATTGCACTGTCATGGCAGCAGTTGCAACTGTTCATGCTCCCAACTGACTCCTCCCAGAGGGGAGCCACCAAGTGTATAATGTCACTAGTTATTGATACACATGTTCAGGAACTACCATAAATCAATAACATAAATCAATAATTTTCAGCAGTTAAATTATATATGATTTTTAAAGTTTAAAAGTTATTTCTTTACCCCCGGTTCCTCACAGTATTAGAGTGTTGAACTTTACACCCCTTTTAACAGAGACGGTCTGGTGAAGACCACTCACTTGGTGGCTAGGAGGGATATGAATCGAGAGAGTTTCATAGAGTAATAACTGATATCAACCCCAGTTAAACAAAACAACAAATTTAATATTATATAATCGTATGTAAATATATGTAATCATAGCTAGTTGTAAATTACTTTTTGGAACAAAGTAATTTACAACTAGCTACAATTACAAATATATGCATAGTACAGTACATCCCTATTCAATATCTATCGGATATATACTGCCTCTAAACTTAAGATCTTAAGTCAACTTAGAGTGTGTTTACAATTCTAAGTAAAATACCTTGGAAGCATTGTGATCCTGTTCATATGATGGTTGCAAACTGATCATGGATCTTTGTGGAGGTAGTATCAGGTCATCGACAGGAGGTGAAAGCATCATTCAGCTCTTCCTAGATGTCCACCCTGAGACTCAATTTGGAGCCCTTTTTATATGCATTGATCATGAGAGAGAGAAGTCAGACCACATTAAATCAAAGTCACCTGTCATTACCTCGGCCACAGCGGTCTGAATCTCTTTCCCATATATGGCAACAACATTAATTTGTAGATGTCATCAATGAGGTGTTGGGACTCTTCTTATCTCATAATTTAACCACTTGACAGTTTCCCATCGTTAATAATCGAATGTTTTGACTAAGGTTGTAACAAGTCCAAACATCAAATATCCCTCTGAATCGACAATCATTTCGATAAAAACCTATCTATCTTTTCAATCGGCCAGGAAGTTTCCAGTTGAGATCTCGGTTTTTCCTCCTTTTGGCTGTTAATTCAATTAGCTCTAATTAACCCCTCCAGATCATCACAATAGCAAATAACAATACTGTTAATCATAAAGCTTTTATAGCCATCAACTCCACATCCTTTAGACAGTTAGAGACAATGATGCAAACAGAATTAAAAAATGTTTGCAATACTAAGATTTTTTACACTTATAACTGAAAATAAACCCACTAAATTTCCTGACATGGATAATATAAAAGATGCAAATTTATACATCTGGAAATTACTGAAATATGAGCATTTACTATGTTAAGTTTCTTTCAATTTAAAGAACCCATCTAATATTCAAAAACAAAATGCTAAATTAGCATTGTGAATATTTCATGAAAAAATATTTCTGCTTTGAGATGTATTGCAAGCAATAATGCCACTGTGTTTCCAAAATATACAAAAAAGTGCATGTATCTTCATATAACTTGGTGGAAAATTGTAAATGTTTAAATCTTTGGCCCTCAAAAGCATGGCAATGATAAATGCAATACAAAATACAAATTTCATGGCTAAAAAAGTGGAAATTAACATTTCCTGTATCGGACACATTAATGTTCAAGATGTTAATTAAAAGAAACGAGGCCTTTGTAAAACTAATTCCATGGTCTAAATCAGGGGTGGCCAACCTTTTTAGCAGGCGGGCCAAATTTCAAAAATAATATTTCCTG